CAGTGACGGGGATTCTTTTTTCATCGGGTGTTGTTGCTCATGCACTTGATTTATTCGAAGTAGCCTTTGAATGCCATCAGCACTGTGTGCAGATCTTACACCAAATGAACTACCCGGTGTCAAAGTAAGTGGCTTGAAGCACGAATGCAGGTTCTGATTTTTCTGTCTGTAGAGAAGTGTTGATTAGTCAATGCTGCACTTCATATGTTCTGATGAGTCTTGGGGATGTTCTTGCAGCCTCGCTGTATTTGCAGAAAGTCGTTATCTTGTTTGAGAAGCTCTACGGTCCTGATCACCCACATCTCATCAGCATCTACACGATGTATGCAAAACTGTCCCTAGCAATCATCTCAGCACCAGATGCAGCATCACAGTTTGTTGCAGCTTCCATTCCTCCCTCCCAGCAATTACTCATCCAACTACATCAATTGAATCAATGCAAGGACGCTCTTGAAAAGGCCATTGCTCTCGCAAAACTATGGACAGGCGTGACTTACAGATCTCCTATTCTACCTGGCTTACTTATTCAGTCAGCCAAAACAGCCCTGACATCAATCACTCTTCTAAGTGTTCTACAGCAACAAGCTCCACACGTTCCTTTGGACGATTTCAGCGAGAAAACTCAAAAGGATATCAGAGAAATGCTTGCAAGCCTTCCAGCGTCTGGACTTGCCTCTCCAGGATCTCCGATGTTAGCGGAAGCTGATCGAATCCTGTTTCTCCTTTTCGCAACTTCTGAAATGGCCGCATCAATGAGAAGAACAAAAACCGCCTCCCTCTATACAATAGCATCGGTGAGTGTCAAATAAGGTCCGTGCTAGTAATTGATCTCTCTTCCATTTAGCTGGAAACCGAACTCTCAATTCAATATTTGGCGTCTGGAGAAACAAAACGCGCTCTAGACTCAGCGCGACGCCATCGAGACATTCTGATTGAATTGTTGGGACCCTCTCACGTTGAAGTTGAAGTAAGATGCAAATTCGAAGGGTTGATCATTTTTCCTTTTTCAGCTGCTGGATCGTCAAATTAGCGCATTAACACGCCAGGCGGTCCTCCGCGCCAAACACGAGCGCTCGGTATTGCGGAGCTTCGATCTGCTGCCCCCTTTCACCACTCGTTCTGTTGCAGTGTCAGATCGAAAATGAACTGGTAGCGTCTTCTTCATCGCATATTTTTGAGCGAATTTTTTCCCGGATGTGCTTTTTTTTTATTTTTGTCCGTATCGCGTGATGCTATTTTTCATGGCTTGTGCACTCCCATTGTGATAGGAACGGCACAAACGGAAAGCTATTCATGAGGGTGGTGGTGTGACGACAATTTCATGATTTCCCTCACAAAGTATTTTAGTGGTCGGGCGTTCCATTGCCGTCATCTCGCACAATTCGGTCAGTCAAACACTCTGTTGTTGGAACCACGGAACAGCATTATACCTCCCTAATTTCTGTTAGAGGGGCGTCATGTGAAGGAGAACGTGGAACAAGAATTTCGATCTGATAAAAGAACAAATCTGCTGCGAGGGCATAAAATCGCTCAACCTCAGCACGGACGAGGAAAAACTCGAGGCAATCAAAGAGCGGAACGTCCGTCATTTCAGTCAACTCGAGGCTAGAAACCAATTTATGATTGATACATTATTGAAGCTGTTTTTGTGCATCATCACTGGCTCATCATCAAAAACTCCCATCTGTGTTTCACAAATATCTATTTTGAATAGACGGAATTTATTCCTGATGTTTTTCTTGATCACTCAACTCAATTTGAGATGGATTCGTTGCCAACTCGATTTTACTTTGATTGGAAGTTGGGGTCCAATCGACCCAATCATCGACGTACGTTGTTGTTGTTGTTGAAATTCCATCAAACTTCTCTGTTTCAACTCTTCTACCAATCGTTCTCGCAAATCCTTCTTGTTCGTCTCCGCTGCTCTCATCCTCATCAATCCCTTCGACGGGAACATTCGGTCCTGCAACAACCGACATCCAAACGTTCGACAATAAAACTCACCGTAAATGTGATGAGACTGATGAGGTTTCTCGTCAATTCCTCTCTTGATGTTTCGCCTCACTGCTTTGTGAACCATAACAAGGGGGATTGGAATAAGTGTCACTAAGGCAATCGTCCATCCCAAAGCGTGACCCCAGAGCGGCCAACCACTGAAAAAGAGTTGGGACGACCATTTTGGACAAGATGGGGTCCCAAAGGACATTCGAAATAAACGTACGTTGAGTACTTTTCTCCTTGACACGAAGCCCCTTCAAAACCAGCAAAACAAGTACAGGTTCCTAAAACTCGATTGCAAATTCCCCTATCCGCACAATTCTCAGGACAGCCGCGCTCTGAAGCAATCAATGAGCCTTTATCTCATTCGAGTTGTACCTGTCGTATTTTCGAGTTTTTCGTCACAACTGATCCCTTGCCATCCAGGATTGCACCGACAAAAATTCCACGTGGTGTCGCAGACGCCATGAAGAGCTGTTGTGCAGTTGGATTCACACCCAAGGCCGGTAGGAGGTTGGCGTGAGACCGTCACGAGATTCAGGTTGACGGATGTTGGCCCTGTGGAGGAGAGAGTAGCCACGAAAGATGGATGTCTCTTACAAGTAAAGGAAATAAGAGCTGACAAGATGACAGATACGAGACAAAATGGCAAACCAAATTTCATCATTATTCGCATTCCACGACTTAGTCGACGCCCTATGGAACGAAAATGAAGCAACGGAACGGAAGCCGGATGTCGTACCTGTCATTTCAAAACAATCATCTGAGAAACGATCGAGTCCATACCACACCAGAACGGCAAACACTTCAAGGAGGGCAACAACGTAGAGGGCAATGCTTCCAACAAAGGCATCTATCAAATCAACAAAGTAGACCCCTGACGGTGTCAATAATCCGACACCAAACATCCAGAAGAACAGACACACGAATCCAGCCAACGCCTCCTTTTGAAGATGCTTGAAGAATGAAGCCTCAATCATTGATGTGAGAATGACTTCAACCATCGCAAACTCAGAAGAGACGCCAAGGCAGATCAAGACAATGAAAAACACAACTGAGAAGAATTGGGCAACCGGAAGAGTTGCTAGGCCTGAAAAGCCCAATAGAGACACAAATGTTGAAGGACATTACCGGCAGGATAAACAACGAAGACGAGGCCACTTCCTGCTTTTGCAACTTCATCAATGGACATCCCTGTCATGTTGGCCATGTATCCAATAAGAGAAAAGACAACAACACCTGATGAGAGTTGTAATTAGAACCCCAACGATACTGTTGCAACGCGTACCAGCAAAAATAGATGTGAAATAGTTTGTCGCAATAACAACGTATGTATCATGAATAAACTGAAACACATTAGAATGATTGTTTCAAAAATAGGAATCAATGTCTGTCTTACATTATTTCGACTTGGATTGAATGACGCGAAATTCACTAAAGATCCCCATCCAATTCCCAACGAATAAAATATTTGACTTCCAGCAACAGCCCAGACATGCGGGTCGTACAATTTGTCCCACTTGGGTTTAAAAAAATAACTGATGCCTTCAGCTAAGAGACACGGAAAGGTCGATCACTGCTTAACACCGAACCACTTACCAGCTCCAGAGAGTGTCACTCCGCGAATGAAGAGGATCAGAAGGCCGATGTATGGAAGAAGAGCAGTGACATACAAAACTGTTCCGCCTGATGCTGAACCTCGCGATACAGAGAAATAAACTCCAATCCACGCCAAGGTCAAGCAAACTAAGAGTCCTTGATTCATATCTGCAAACCCGTTGAAAGCTTTCATCTCGGATGACTTGTTGAGAACAACCTCGAGCCTGAAAGATCTGTAAGGGACAATCTTTACTGAATGAAGGACTCACCAGAACTTCCTCGCAGAGTCCGCCGCGTCAAGCCCACCAACTGCCCATGGGAGAGTTGCCTATCAAAAAACGCGGAGACACCCTGGAAAGGACAGCAACTAAGGCCAGCTACAAATGGCGGAGAAATTACTTTGAAGGAATTGAATAAATAGAATAGCGCCCATGCCACGATAACATTATAATACACCGCACAGATGGAAGCAAGTCCGACCGAAGTCAAGCCTTAAGGAGGAAAGCGCAGTCAAAACCCACTACACCATAAATGTTGAATTACCAAGTCCAGATAATCTCCCATTGATGTTTCGCCATACTCTTATGAATCCGCACTGTTGTTTTTGGCCAATCCTAGGAAAATTGGTCAGAGCGTCAAGGCATTGACCGAAGACACTAACCCAAGTTCAATCACAAACATTGGAAGACCTAGTGCAAGGGTTGTCAGTGTATGTGGTACTAGGAAAGCTCCTCCGCCATTCTCATAGCACAGCATTGGAAAACGCCAAAGATTTCCTATAATCAATGGAAGTTATTGATATTAATACGATGTAGCGTACCGAGACCAACTGCGTAGCCGATGCAGCAAAGCATGTATTCAGTCTTTGATTTCCATCTTGGTCTTCCCCCTGCTTCATCCTTAGCTTTCTGCATCATCGCGATCGTGGTGTGCCTTCCAATAATTGGAAGGGCTGCGAGATACTGATCACCTTCAACGAAATGGCGAAACTCAGCAGCCCGTAGAGCGCGTTCTGCATCGTCGGTATTGAAAGGTCGATGTTCACTCACAAGAGCAAGTTGATACAGTTGTCTGAGAACCAGGGATATTAGCGCGACCGTCTATTCAAACAAATCGTACCTTTTTTCTGTATTATTGCGTGTGACTTCGAAACTCGAAGAAATTTGAACCGCGGCAATACTCGCATCTGCACCGTAAATTCTATTCGGTTCGGTGTTTTCCCCAATGGCGACACCTTCATCGTCCATCTCAGGAATTGCTGTTTTGTACTGGGCCGACAAACATGCAGCGAGTGCGTTGTTGAAAAATGGCAACAAAAAGTATACAAGCCAAGCAGTAGACCATTCAGTGCACTGCTTAGCGTTCAAAACAGAGAAAAAAAGCAGAGCAAGAAAATTTCAACGCTAAGGTTGTTGGAGTTGCTTCGTCACAAGTTGTAGCATTCTTTGTTTCATTTCATCAAGTTGAGGAACAACATCTGAGAAGCAAGTTACTGCACATGATTCCATGTGTGACTGAATCTCATTTCTCTTGACTTCTTCCTTAGCGTCACTAAATGCCATAGAAAATTTATTGTGGCAAGATTGCTGGCAACCACTGATCTGATTCTGAAACGTTTGCATTTCCTGCCTTAATCGATCCCCAAAAGCTTCAGCGGGAGCTTGACACTCTTGAATACACTTTCCAATCGTGTCGAGCTCTTCCCTGCTGTTGTCGAAACATTTAACGCAACACTCGTAGGACTTTCTCTGTAATGGAAGAACCGCTTTTGTAATCGTTTTCATCATTCCTTCCACCTTCGATTCGAAATCCCTGGCTGCATCTTGAAACGACATCGTCGCGCTCAGAATGGTGGGTGCCTCAATCGAATCTGGCGCATGTTGCTAGTAGGCCCTCCAGCAGAAAAAACGTGCAACAAAATCTCTACAAAAACTTGTCCTCCTGTTTCGCAGCGATCTGATCTCTAGCTGCCTCATTTCCATCTCCGTACCAATCTTCATCGTCACTCAGATCATCATCCATGTCATCTTCTCCATCTGCGTAATTGAGTTTCGGAGGGACTGAATTTGCGATAACCCGTTCATTTGCCGCCATCCCTATTAGTTCTGGCCATAAATGTTTCGTTCTTCCTTCAGCAACAATTCTAGCGGCATCTTCAGCTTTACGTGGATCCGGATGAATCACTCCTAAGTAGTCTTTCAACTGATCTGTGCTAATAACACCTTGCCTGTAAAGAATGAAGTGTAGTACTTCTTCCAATATATATATCTCTACCTTGAAACAATCCATTCTAGCCACAACGCCCAATTCTTCTTTTCGTTCTTCAAAGTTTCTGGGTCTCCCAAAACGATTAATCCTCTCTTCGCGCGGGTAAGCATCACATTCATTCTTCTCATATCAACTAAAAATCCAAGATCTCCCTGATCGGAACAAACATTGAATATGCACCCATTGAGGCTTGCAGTCAAACAGTTATATGAACTATGAACAGCAACAAGCATTCGCTATTTTGTGCTCTTACATTCGGGTTCGCTCGTACAGCGCTGAAAATAATCAGTTCTTTTTCTTTCCCTTGAAATCCGTCTACAGTATCCACTTCTAATCCGTGGATCTGTGACGATGTCTAAAAGAAGTGATCACAGATGAAAGAAGAAAGGCAGCATCCTAACACCTACGAATTTGCTTTTGAGAACCGTAAGAATCAGTTTTTTTTTGCGCCTTGTAGGGAGTTAGAATTCCGATTTCAGACGGGTCAAGACTGCCTCGATCGAAAATAGACCGTAGAATTGGTGGAATGAGCGACGCTTCACTGAAAAAGAGAGTCAAGGGAAGTGGCGAAAAGCAAGTTGAAATTGGAGGGAGTTGGTCGAGTGGAGAGAAGAGGATGAACGCGTGGGCAACAAGACTAGAAGCTCTATGAAGTTGAAGATCTTACTTCGCATTGAGTTTTGACGGGCCATCGGAACTTTCTCCCACTCCAAGCTTTTTCGGTTTGATCAGGCACACCCGTATAGCTGGATTGGGAAATACGAATCCAGGAATGGTTGGACGTTCACTGTCTTGTACTCCTATGAAAGGGGGAAGTTGTAATCTCTTTTATTGAGTCAATGCTTTCGACATGATGTTCTGTTTCTCACCTGCATTCTTGACTTTGCCTCGATAAAACTGGAAATTCGGAAACTCCGCAATACTTGGATGCATTCGACGTTGAACATCAAGAAGAATTACATCTGCTACTTTTGAAGATGCCAATCGCTCTAGAAGGCTGACGCTCAAACCTGAAGAGTGAAGTAAAAGTTCAGCAACACAAATCTATGTTACCTCGTGAGTTGGCCTCCCTTGATACAATCGTCGCTGGAAGTTGTTGATAATCCCCAATCAAAACAAGATTAGAGCACCCTTTCGCGAGAGCTACCAAACTAGCTGGTTCTGTTGATTGAGCGCATTCATCAATAACGACGCGATCAAACTTGTAAGTATTCAAGAGGAAATGTCCCGATCTGATAAAGAGATGTGTGGTTCGCATGTTGTCTGTTTCTACAAACCCGATACAGGTCGTGATGATAACGTCATTTCTAGCGATCAATGCTCGGATCATTTTGAGCCGTTCTTGCTTGTGGGCTTTCACTTTATTGTACTCAGAGTCGAAGAGGGTTGAATCAGATCCTTCATTCCCAACAAACTCCTGTCAAAAGGTCTTTCGAAACAAAGACACACGGTTGTCCGTCTGACCTGGACATCCATATCGCTGCCAGCGCCAATTCTGACACTTTGCAAGCTGTTTCTCAATCCGGCAGTCAAATTGTCCGCCGCGACATTTGAGTCAGCAACAACAAGAATTTTGCGGAATCGGTCAAGTTTGTTCCACGCACGAATCAGCGAACAAGCGACGTGCGTCTTTCCAGTGCCAGGAGGCCCTACAAAATCACAACAAAGCCAAAACGTTTGACACTCCAGTATCACCGAATAGCCGCATTACAAACCTTGTATCATTGTAAGGCGATTTGTCAGTGCTGATGTGAGAGCTAACCGCTGTTGAGGGGTCAAGGAAGCGTTCTCGTAACTCCTTAGAAACTCGTTCACTCGATCTGAGGTCTCTTGTAAATTTTCTTGGCTTCCCTGGCTTCGCATCTTTTTGTCTGCCTGAGTTGTTAAGCCACTCGGACGTATTTTCTCAAGAAAATCTGCAGGAACGTCACCGCCTAAGAATAACAATGCAATGATAGTCTGACTTTCAAAGACATACCCAGTGCAACTTGTCTCGCTTCTGGGGTGTCAGGATTCAGCAAAAGATATTTCATTGCGGGAGAAAAGACCATAAAGGGACGCTTTTCATTAACAGGCCATTTAGATAGACACAACACCTTCAAGGCGTTGACCATACGTTGATAGCTGACAGAACTTGTCAGCGGGTAAAGCATGAATGAACGGGAGCCTGCGAGAATTCAGTTCAACAACAATTTCTTCCGATGAGTGGTTGTTCTACGACTGACCTAACGTTTCGCCGAGTGCCTCATCAGTAACAAGACGGAGAGACAATTCTAATCTTCCCTCTTGAATGTTAATACTTGTCACTCGAGCAGCAAATGCTTTGTTCCAACTACAATGTCGATCGAATCGTTGATTGAGGGGACGAAGAAGAACCAATTCGTCATCTCGAATATTCGACTGCTGAAGAAATCGATCAACCTCTGAGAATAGAAATAGGGAATGGAAAGACTTGTCTATCAAGAGAACCGAGAATGATCGTGAATGACGCACCTGGATGAAATCCCGTTTGCAAGCGAATTAACGGAGGGGCTACACTCAAGACGTCGAATTCAACGCATTTTGAATCATCAATAAGAGATCTTGGAACTTCCCCCTCATTCAGGCGACATTCAGTGAGACGTTGAGAAACATCTGATCGAAATTCATGGGCAAGCATCATGCGATAATTCTGGAAGAAACTTCTCGCTTCGTCAGACGGAAAGTACGAAGGGTCCAGTTGTAGGAAGTATCCACTAGAAGGATTGGGTTGCTCAAGATAGTCGTGCGAAGAACCCCCCGTGATGAGCGACAGAGCAAGGGACCCAAATCTGCCATCACTCAATACGCAACAATCGTCCAGCAAGCTTTCCCATAGAGTGACCGAAAGAAGCCGCGGCTTGGTCGCTAGGAGAGGGAAGATCGTTATGTAGGGCAATTGAGAAAAACTACTTACGATGATTGGCAACCTGATCGAGAGCACGTACTACATTTTCAACATGACTTCCCTGATATGACGCAAGAATTGCTCTCCATAATTGAGGTAGAATCAAATTCCATCCCTCTGCACTTGAAGTTTCGATAAAGGAGATTGCTTGTTGTACGGCAGCCCCGAGATCCTTCATTAAAATTAATTCAAGAATTCGACGACAAATTGCTCTTTCACTAGTTGGAACAGCTTCTTCGACGCCAAGGGAGCTCAGGACTATTGTTCGTGCGTGCGCTAATCCTGCCTTCTTTGAATGCCCAGCACCGAAGGCTTCCGCAATCTTTGGATTCCCTCTTTCATCCGTAAACGTCCAACGCAACTCACAATGAAAAACGGAACCCTTCACTGAATATTTCAAGTCTTCATCAATTCCTAATCGACTCATCATGCTTTGAGTCCGAGTGATGATGTCAGCCACCTCGTTGGAACGAAGATCCACAGGGACTTGGACTTGGGACATGTCTGGCGGATCAGCATTTCGACTTTTTTCAACTAGATTCGGCGATGCGGTTGTTGACGAAGAGCAAGAAACCATTTCTTCCTAAGGAACCGAATTTTCGATCAAACTGAAGAATTAAAACTTACCGTTGGAAGCAGTTGCAATTTATTCCACACTTCAGCTCTTGATTTAACTTGCGCTTCTAGAGAAGACGTTGACATCGAACACACCGAAATCTGGAACAACGACCAATACATCGACATCCTCAACACATGATGTGTAAAGACCCATTTTACTTACTGCAGGTCTAAATGAGCCCTTGCATGTAATTTGATAACAGTAGTTTTTGTTGTCATTGTTCACGATCCATTTTTCTTCGATTGTCACTTTTCGTTTCGTCTTTTCGACGCAAAGCAAATATTTATACGCTTCGTTAAGTTCCATAAGTGTTGGCATTCCTAGACGTTCGATTAAATCTCGACACGCAACACGAATGGCGCCTTCTTTGTTGCGATGGCGACCAGCTGCCCTCACTGAAAGCGGTTGTTGTTGTAAGATACCTTGATGCGTATCTTTCAGGCATGACAAAGCATCTTGAATGCTTGAACTGAGTTCTGCAAAAGGGGAGAAAGTCCACTCGATACGATGGTGAAATCCATCTTGCCGCCCCTGTGCCTGCGTTGATGAACTCTCTTTCGGTTGTAAAAAATTCTTTCTTATGCTAAATAGCATTCTGACGTTACTTTCGTTGAGCAATGGTTCCAGTATCGGCTGCAGATCCGTCGTTGCAGCACACGATCGATCTGCAGCAAACGAACCAAAGAATCGCCGATTTCCATTTGAAAAATTCACAAAACCTTGACCGGCTGTGTGGGCAATAGACTCCTGGGGAAATTCCTGGTGAACATGAGATTTCGATTCATTCTGTTGAAAAGATTCAATTGAATCAGATGGAGCACCATTTGAGACATGAACTGTGTTTTCGCGAATGGGAGAATTTAAGGTTTCTGGAGTGATTCGCTTGGCTCCACGAGGATTCCGATTAAAATCAAAACGTCTTCCTCCTCTTCCTCTTTGGCGCGAACCCCTCCCAGGGACACCAGGCGGATCTGAAGAGCTGATGAGCGTTGGAGAAACTGAGGACTCGACAGCAGGCATAACAGCTGAGTGAAAAATTTGTCTAGCAAAAACGGTTCTGAGAAAAAAGAGAAGGAGATGAAGAACAAAGGGAATAGGAAACTCACTGATATGCCGTGAACGTAATTTGACCTCGATGCTAAAGACATAATATCTGAAATCCGGCCACCTTAAAATCAACCATCAGACATCCGGACCTGATGGCCAATAGGATTGGAGGTAAGAAGAAAAAGATGTCGCGACATGAAGGTCTCTTCCACATTTGCGCGTTGATTCGTGCGAATGTCACAACCATAGAAACACAGCCTCCTGAACAGCAATACTCTTGCAGGTTGGGTAAGAGACGAGTGTAAGTCACGAAGAATGATTAGATATTGTTGGTGTTTGTAATGAAAGTCTGTCACTAAATAGATATTTCAAAGGAAGTGCAATCAATCATGAACATCTCGTAAAATATTTGGTTCGCATGCGAGATAGGCAATCAGATTATTTTGTGTAATTCTTCGATTGAAAATCAGCAAAAATGTCTAGAACAGAGCGACTGTCTGATCCCAACGTTGAGTGAAAGCATCACTGCCACGGAAAAATTGGATAATATTGCAGAAGACACTGAAGAGGCTCTTGAGTCTGCTTGGGGAAAGACTGAAGGGACCCTCAAGGTGAGTTTCACGGTCCGATGAGTGGGAGAAAGCTCTTGATGGCAGATGGTCTCTCAAAAATCTAGCGAGCTTGCGGGTCAAGCTGGGGGAGCAGTACAAAACTTTTTTCAGTCAGCAGGGAAATACATTAGAAGTCAAGCCCAACATCTTGCGGGAAGAAGCAAGGACGATGAACCCATTTGAGTAGTAATTTTCTTTGAATGTTTGATTGCATAAGAAAAATGTTTTTTGAGACTTTTCCACATGCTTCTAACTTTGAAAAATAATGTGTAAGTGTATAGAGCAGGAAAAATGACATTGTCTAGCAGCGCAGAACCTTCATAACTTCGACGGAGTTGTTGGTGCTGGAAGTCCCAATCCCTTGGCGACTCTTCTCCCGTAATCCATATCACATCTCGCAAAAACAGTAACCATGCGTTCCTGGATCTCTCGTTTTGCATTTTTAAGATGTCCACAGATATTCGAGATGAGATGCTGACGGTCTGTTTCTGTCATCACGTTGCGATACAAATTTCCAGGCTGAACGAAATCCTCGTCAGTCAGGAGATATCATATCGGCCGGAGAGGCCAGAAGCATAAACTGGAGCGGGTGCGAATTCTGGTGCTTGTGCTGGAGTTCCCATGATGGAATTTGGTTCATAATTCGGAGTTGATCCTCGATTTCCATCAACATTGGCGAATCCATCTCGCGTATTATAATTTCCTGAATTATAATCAAATGAACGGTTTATTCAAACAAGCTTTGCATTTATAAATGTTGAATGAGAGGGTGAACCTACCCATCGGACAATTCCACGGGGCATTGATAGGGATTTGTTGGTAGTTTCCACCAAGACGATGGCGATGTGTATCAGCATAACTGAAGAGACGTCCTTGCAACATTTTATCTTCAGATGCTTCAATTCCTGGGACCAGATGCACCGGAGCGAACGCTGCAAGACATTAACAGAATCCTTCTCTCAGAGCCAACAACAACTCACCTGACTGCTCAGTATCAGCGAAATAGTTATCTGGATTTCTATTAAGGACAAGTTTCCCAACAGGAATCAATGGATGATCCTTATGAGGCCACACTTTGGTGACATCCAATACATTCCATCGGTATGTCTCTGCTTCTTGGGGTGACATGATTTGAAGATAAAGACTCCAAGACGGATAGTTTCCTTTTTGAATCGAATTAAAGAGATCTCTTGTTGACCAATCAGGATCCTGAGCTCCCATCTTTTGCGCTTCTTCCCCAGTAAAGTTCTTTATTCCTTGATCAGTTTTAAAATGAAATTTGCAGTAATGAACTTCCCCATTCCTGGAAGAAGAGAGAAAGAAAGGTATGGCATTAATCTGGTGCGCTCAGTGAAATCGTTTTCCCTACCGATTAATGAGTTTGAAGGTATGAGAACCATAGCCGTTCATGTGACGGTAGCTGTATGGCGTTCCTCGGTCGGAAAACAGAATTGTAACCTGATGAACTGATTCAGGAACTAACGATAGAAAATCCCTGGAAAGGAGGGATGGATAGAAATACTGATAGACTAAAATCTGAATTACCAAAACATGTCTGCATCTGGAATATTCGTCTGCGGGTGTTTCTTTTGAGTGTGGATAAAATCTGGGAACTTCACTGGATCCCGAATGAAGAAAATAGGAGTATTGTTTCCGACCATGTCCCAATTTCCCTCCTCTGATTCGAGAAACTGGGGGAGAAGATGGGACATAGTCGATCCTTACCTGTGTAGAATTTTATGGCATACCCACGAGGATCCCGCGCGGTATCTTGGGATCCTTTTTCACCACCGACGGTCGAAAAGCGGAGGAAGCAAGGAGTCCGTTTTCCGATCCGCTCAAACATTTTAGCTTTTGTATATTGCGTGATATCATGCGTTACTTCGAAGTATCCGTGTGCTCCTGCACCCTTCGCATGCACAACCCTCTCAGGAATCCTTTCTCTGTCGAAATGCGCCAACTTGTCAATTAGATGGAAGTCAGAAAGAAGCTGCAAGAGAATGACGTGAGAAGAGCTGGAGCTTTATGACCACGTACAATCGGACCCTTCGGCCCCAAAGTGATTGAGTTCTGGTTTGAGTCAACTGGGGCACCAGAGGTTGTTGTGATATAGCGGCGACCATTTCCATTGTTTGAAGACTCCCACTTTGCGTATCGAGAGGCTTGAGATGCCATACTCTGATTATAGATACTGGAACTGCGTAAGTTTTCTATTGTTGTAAGCGTCTACAGTAGCTGTCTCAAGGTACATGCACTTTGTTATCGGTCCAGGTTATCTGCATCACAGAAGTTGAGAGCAATATATGCCTCATTGGCGTCTCACTCAACTCACTCTTCGCTGTCGTTGGGTCTATAGTGCAAAATGAGTGAACAAAGAAGAAGCAAGAATAGAACTAGATATTCAGATTTTTAGCAGATGGACACTGTCTTCACACCTGGCAGCGGGACTTGACCACAATCGCTGAGAACTAATGGAAGAAAGCAGATTGTGAAGAGAAATCCCTTTGAATTCATGAAATGTAATCGCCAAGAATGGCAATCACATGAATCAAAGCAAGACACATTTGTTTCACTACTCCCAATATTGCGTCCAAATAGACCAGATGGATCTCTGCAAGCAACCATCTTCTAGAAATCAACACGTGTGTTGACGCCCAAATCATTGCTTGGGAAGTTCCACTCTGCTGCAAGCCAATCTTCTTAAGCCTTTCAAATTCAAGTTTAACAAATGCCAGATATAACATTTCCTTTTCTCGGATCCATATGCCAACATCCTCCAACGCATAAAAGAAATTTAGGAGAGATAACAACTCCAATGGATCGGCTGCTTGTAGACGACTTCTCCAATTTCTGGCATCTCTACATTCACGCTTAAATTTCTTGCTTTGCGCCACAGAACAGCATCATGCGATTCTACAACGCTAAAATTGAAGCGGTTCACTCTTCATCAATTC